ACAATTATCCTCGTTGATGTCATCATCGATTGATGATACGATAATTACCGAAGACGAATTCTCCGCGATGATACGTATTTATGATACTACGATTAAAAACGCTAGCGTTTTTTCATCTATTGCAAAATTAGACATTATAAATAATAATAATGTCGCAAGAGATTCAACTACTTCAGCGGATAGCAGAAAATACCACTCCGCGGAAAACAAGCATGATATCAATATCGTCAACAAACCCTAAATTCAGTGTGAATTTTCCCTCACCTGTTTCAGTAAAGGAAATCGCGTTGGCAAAATTACGAGTGTATCATAGTTGGCCTAATATCAGATCGGTTCCATTTGGTGGTCAGAGATCTAATAATTCTCTGGTATTTGCATATAGGAATAAAAAAGATGACACTCCAGATTGGAATGTTGTTTCAATACCAACTGGGTCCTATCAAATTGAGCAAATTAATAATGAATTACAACGTAGAATAAAATCCATTACTAAAAAAGAATCAAAAATTGCGATAACAGTTCATGAACCAACACTGTCATCTACAATTGAAATAGGCTCTCCTGGGTACGTTGTAGATATTTATAACAGTTCAATAAGAACAGTATTAGGATGGCCCGAAGATCCACCTAGAAGTGCTGGTAATTCCACGCCCGAGCCTGTAAAATCTGATTACGTCACTGATGAAATAGGACCTGAAAATCCATCAAAAACTTATAAAAAATTCGAGGATATAAACTTTACAAAACGATATCGATATAAGGATGAATATGGTAAAGATGTGTGGAGAATTCCATTTTTTAATGATTATATCCCACAGGAAGGTGAAATTCTGGAAATACATGAAACAAGTCCAACATTTGTAGACATTAAAGATCACATCCTTGATAGAATGAATAATGATTTTTTGTTGCTATTACCGTCGTTAAGATCTGGCTTTCTTACACAAGCTGAGTTTACTAGTGTAGTCGCCGCGGGTAATAAAATCATCGATGACATGGAAATATTTAATTCGAGGATTACTAATCTCTTCACTGATGAAAATAGCCCGATTTCAAAAACTAGCTCAGCTCAAGATTATAAAAAAAATATAAATGAAAATCCAAATTTTAAATTACCAGGATATAATGTTCCCGAGTTAAAGAAAAAACTCAGAACTGCCATCGACGAAGGATTTAATAAAATTTATCAATCATGGAAAGATAGCCAGCCGAAGCCTATGATCCTCACTTATAATAATTCTCCCGACGGCGACGGTAGACATATCGCACCGAACAATGTGAATATTTCATCAGTGATCGCACTTAATTTAACATGTGATGTAATCGAAGGGAGTTATCAAATTAATATGGAACAATCAAATCAAGCCCGACAAGGTTACATTCTTTATTCATTTTCACCAACAGCACCCCCCGGATTTTTAATTGTTGAGAATCCGACTAATCCAGTCTATATGCAATGTCAAAATGATTTACTAACTAGAATTAATTTTACACTCACCGATCAGTCAAATAATTTGATTGATCTACGTGGTGAAGTATTATCGATTAGTCTGTTTGTGAAAAGCTAACAAATAATTTGTATTAATCAGCAGCAGGGAGGGTGAAATGACAACATATTTGCGACGTAGATGGCAGCAATTTGAGGGTGGTTATGACAATGTATTTGCGACAAAATCGCTAAGGCTCCATTTGTAAAATGGGGTCTTTAATTTTTTTTGGGTTAAAATATGAGATTTCGTAGGAAGGTTCCATTTGGCATTCTGAGGCTTTAATCGATTTTGTCGCAAAAATTTGTAGACGTAGATGGCAGCAATTTGAGGGTGGTTATGACAATGTATTTGCGACAAAATCGCTAAGGCTCCATTTGTAAAATGGGGCCTTTAATTTTTTTTTGGTTAAAATATGAGATTTCGTAGGAAGGCTCCATTTGGCATTCTGAGGCTTTAATCAATTTTGTCGCAAAAATTTGTAGGGTTCACCCTCCCTGCTGCTATATATATATATATATATATATATATATATATATATATATATATATATATATATATATATATATATATATATAAATGATACATATGCATACATCGTTACCTTGGGCTTTAAGCCATGGATGCATATATATGTATATAAAATACTGTCTATTTCACAACCTCAGTCTTTTTTTTATTATATTCATAGATCTGATATTTATTTTTTTATTTGCGTCAACTCAAGTTGCATTTTCCGCTGCCGAGTTTGTTAGGCAGTTTATTTCGTCCATTTTATGCAATCGCCGACAATTTAAATAACTTTTAATTCGTCTTAATTATGGTGAATTAAATGTTAATGTTGACCATTTCTAATATATCATGTAAACTCGTTAATTTCATTGATCAGTGCAAAATTATCAACTCTTTCTGATATTAAAATTGTCATGTGCAGTCATTATCTGATAATTGACAGTCATGGGCTGTATTAATGACATCAACTTTTTTTTCGAGCTCTGTCGTAACGGATAAGTAGTTGTATTGTTAAAGAAACAATACTGCGCCTTTTGGTAACTTTTGACATAATAAAAGTGATTACATAAATATAACAGGTATAAATCTAAAGTCAAATTAGAATAAGGTTATGTTTTATCTTTTATTCAAGTGGCGAATTCATTGAAATAGCAATTATTTCCCAAAGGCTTATGTATCTGTCATACAACTAACAATAAAAGCAGTTACAACATTATATAATTTATTTCAGAATGCATTAATTAATCAGGCACATGTATGTCAGAAAATGTTTATTTAACTATCAGTGCTTTATATATGTTGTCTGTTCAGCTCAAGATATATTCCGTTGTCCCTGTTTACGTCCCGGCAGTTCGTTTTAGTCACTTGCACTTTTTCAACTACCAAATCTTTAAAAAAAAAAATTTAAGTTGTCCCATGCTGTTTGTTTAGCAAAATCGTCTTAGGTGAAAGTCGAACCAATATACTCTTTGAAAAGCCACGATGTTGACTATAAAACTCTTGGGACGGGGCAGCGTACATTTGTGGACTGATTTGTTTATAAACTATATGTATATGTATTAGATGAAAAGAAAACTAAAAACTAAATCTATTATATCTGTTTATCTCTTTATCTTGTTTCATGTTAGTTCTATATGTAAATGTTAAAAGAAAAATTAAATTGTAGATTCATATATTAATAGCTAAATAATATGCATTGGGAAATCAAAAGTACTTTCATACATGTAAAACCGTTAGGCATTAAATTCAAAATTGTGGGACTTAAAAATGTACCTGGTCCGGGTAGACAAATGTGTAGCAAATTCTTAACAAGCAATACAAAAAAGTTGTTGTTGTTGTTGTTGTTGTTGTTGTTGGGCTTAACGCCATTTTTCAGCACACGATAGGCTATTCATGGCGGCCAGTATTAATGGTGGAGGAAGAAACCGGGAAATCACCGGAAAGAACCACCGACCCACGAGAAGCTACTGGCAAGCTTTCTCACATATCCACATTCGCCGAATCTTAGATTCGAATCCACGCAGACAGAGGTGAGATGGCAGTGATCCGTAACGGACAGCGCTTTCGACCACTCGGCCACTCGGGGCCCCTCTATACAAAAAGTCCAGTACAATACTATCCAATAACCTTTTTTGAATTTTCTTTGTATGTGTTTACTTTTATGACCGATATTGCTCTAATTGATCATATATTTCTTTCATATTTAGAATAAATTTACTGCATTATTATTAAATGAGATAAAATATGTAACAAATAATAATAAGCAGATTCCAATTTTTGTTTGACAAAAGACAATTTTTAAATATTAATGCTAGTTTAGTACAACGGTGAATGGAAATAGACATTGAAAAAAATTAGCAATATAACATTATGGCAAAAAAAATAATTTTAAAACAGTATTCTCATAGAAAGTGCTACACATGCGAATGAATTTATGCCCCATCTGATGTTAATTTCAGACTATAAACTGCGTTATAAACTTAACCTGGTGTGATTGATTTGCAATGTAGTGTGGCCATGTTGTATCATAATTATGGTACACATTTATGTTGTTTTAGAGAAATCTAAATATTAGACAAATTAAATTATGTAAATTCGTGCGTAGGCTGTATTTTTTCTTGGATAAAATGGTCATTGAATCGGTTGAAAATCCATGATACTGCATGATAATTACACACATAATTAGGGGTTCTACAACAAAATATGCTTTGAGAAAAGAGAGTAATCTTTGCGTGTGCTAACATAAGAAATTTAATTAGTACAAATTTTAAAGTAAATGCTGATTCTTATATTTTGCAGATGATGCGTGGCCATCAGGTAGTCAAACTCATTACCATCCAATGTACGACACTGAACGCACACTGAACGATCACTGTTTATCCACATTTTCAATTCATCGTCCTTTGGCGGGGGGGGGGCCAGACAGATGCTCTTCCCCACCTACTTAGCCAAAAAATGGAAAAAGTAATCAATGTGTTTCTGTTTCCCCCAGGTGCGGTGTAATGTATTATTTTTTTAAAAAAAGAATTTTGATTAAATTTATTTCTGATAATTTTTGACGGGGTTTTTTTACCTAATGTATCTGAAGGTTCGTTCATCCGTTCAAGTTTCAATTACTTTCTCGGAATCTCTCGCCTTTTCCAAATTTGTGTGACCTTTGCCAGAGGTCCCTTAAGTCCTGTGTATGCTATATGTGTTATGCTATATTGTGTGTTTGCTATATAGTGTTTTGTAACGACGGCAGTTGTATCAAATCAAAGGATCCCACAAGTTTTCCTATTGTATTCCCTGTACATATTATTTTTTTTAAAGGTTAAGTAATTTTGAATTAGGAATTCTTTTGCTTATATATTGAGAGTGAGACGGTTTACTAGAAATGATAAAAAAGAGCTATTGTTTTACGTGATTTGGTGTTTGTTCAGAGTTGTCTCTCTCTCTTTCTCTCTTTATATTTATGTTAAATAAATGATAATAATAGCTATTATCATGATGAGGATAACCGCTCCGGTGGCCTAGTGGTTAGAGCGTCCGCCTCGGATGCGGGCGGTCGTGGGTTCTATCCCCGGTCGAGTCATACCAAAGACTTACAAAAATGGTACTGAAAGCTGCCTCACTTGGTGCTCAGCATTAAGAGGTTAGTGATAGGACTGGTCGGCTTGGTGTCAGGATAATGTGACTGGGTGGGACATCATGTTACATGTCTGCGGCATGATGTCCCAGTGCTAGACATCACTATAAAACTGCCACACTGCAGACATCGTAGCGATATGACTGAAAAATTGTTAAAGCTACGTTAAAAATTATAAACAACACAACACATGATGAGGATACTTGGTGTGTGTAGTGCAGTGAGTAATATTTCCTTTATTTATTTATGTCACCTCTTGCATTTATACGCATTCTAATTCCTTTATATTACGAAATATTGAAGACGAGCCAAATAACTTATAATTTAGAGTTTTTTTTTAAAAAAAGAAGAAAAAAAGGAAAAATGTTTTATATTAGGTTTCGGTTAGTTGTTAGTCTGGGTCACCCATTTTAGTTGCGTTCCCTTATTTCTCGTATATATGTCCTAATTAAAAATCCGAACCAGTATATATAAAGTGCTTCCCATTGAGTTCTTGGTTTATAATTTAATTCTTTAAAACGATTAATTATATTGGCTTGTTTCATTAAAGTTGGGTTTGGCAATGCTAATCCCTCTTTTATTTACTTTATATAGAGTAATTTTTCAATGTAGTTCATTTTCAAATTCCTTATGTATTTAATTATCTGATTGTCTATTTTCTCTTGAATTTTATTTTCAAAATCAACGATGTTATCATATAGTTCATATTTGAATACAAGTATGTTTTGGCTACTTGTGCCCTATCCATTTTACATAACGGCGTTTGTGCCCAGGTTGCCATTCTACTTGTTGTCTTTCGTATCAAATTTCTCTGGGATATCTTTCCACCCAAAATACACCCCTAGAGCTTTTACTCTACACTTAATATGTTTGTTTTTTTTTTGGCGGGGGTGGGGGTCTCGGGTGATTCCACCTCCAGCTACCTATTTTTAGGATCTGTTTTATCGTGGTTTATTTTTTAATGCTCAGCCAAATAATTCATATTCCTTTTCTAGATGCTTAAAGTTAATGTTAATTATAAAGTTAATGCAATCAACTGCGTGTTGAAGCATTTTGAATTTGTACTGGAGATCTGGAATCCTTATTCCTTCAATATTTTGGTTGGTCCTTATCCTTGTATTCGAGATTTCCAATGTATGACACTAAACGCACACGTATTTTAGATCACTGTTTCTCCACATTTTCAATTAATTGTCTGAGATTTCTTGCCATTTATGATACCACTTACACAATTAACATTGAAACCTTCTCTTTTGAACAGTTTGATTTGCATCTACCACACGGAAACCTGGCTCCGCTTTATTTTAATACTGAAATTATTCACTTAAAAATCACCAGTACAGAATTTGAAGAAGAAGAAAAAAAAACCCAGCTTTGTTTCAAAATGAGAGATGAGGTGATGAAGCTATAAGTATATAAACCTTGCATTTGATTGCTTGTAATTAACAGTAATATTTTGTTCAGACTGTCTAGCAGTTTATTAATGATAAAAAAATACAAAACTTGAAACTCATCCTATTTCCAACGCATGCTGACAATTGTAAGTACTCACAATGCAGTCAAAAGAAATTCGAGGCTGATTTTGGCAGGTTGCTGGTGAACAATATTGAGTAAACGAGGGCTTGCCGCTTGATCAACTTTTTCGGCATTTTCTTTCGTTGGTTTCTTTTTTGTATTCATCGACAAGAAGAAGCACTTGCAGTTGCTGATTCTGTTCGGCAATTCCTTTTCATTTTACACGATTGCCGACAATTTACCTGTTATTGTTCACATTTTTCAACATTTATAAGTAACTCCTTTTCTCGACTGAGCAATGGTCGAGTTATCTTTCTACTAGTCATCTATTATCAAGAGGTATTCAATAATTGCAGGTAAAAGAAAACATTAAGAATGTTCTAATCCTCTTAAATTTGCATGTATTAAATAGTGATTTTTTTAGTTTGTTTTTGCGTTTGGTTCTTTAGATCACATAAGTGTTTTGTTTGGGGGTTTTTATAAGTAAATGTCCTCAATATGTGACATTTATTCTGGCTGAATAGAAATTTATTTGAACACGTGGCTTTGATTTCGTATTTTAAAAAAAATATAGGTGAAAAGAGATAGTAATAATAAAGTAAATTCAGAGAATCAGTTGGTAAAGATCAGACTCCAAGTTTTAGATAGATAATGTTAGCAATATCAACATTTGTGCTGAAATGGAAATGTGTATATCTGGCCACAAAAAGACCAGTAAAGACACAGAATCTATATAGCATACAAAACATTGTAGCATATACATAGCAAACATAGACAGTAGGAAAACCTTTGACCACGATCACTGGAAATAGGGATTGTCTTATCTAATTATCCCAGACAAATATGTCAATGTTCAATTAAATTCTTTCTAAATATCTTGTGCATATTTTGTATTCGTCGTCGGTTATTTTTACGTTTTATCGCAGCGAATAAAATTTATCTTCGTCGGGCAAAGAAGTTTCATCAAATTTACTCCAATCATCGAGATATTCGTATGGAAATACTCCCTTTTCTTGTTAACAAACTTGCTTTGGAGACTACTTCTCACCCGAAACAATCTTGTAGGTTATAAAACTTGCTACAGCATTTCACCAACTCATCTAACGATGCTGCCAAAAACTGTAGGCTGTCGATGAAACGCAACTTATCTGAAGTAACCGACATATACTTTTCAAAATTATTTGGAATACACTTGATTTTGTTATCAAGATTTAAATGAGATTTTATTTCTGGATCGCCAAAAGCTTCTACGACAATATGACCGTCATATTCTCGGAAATTGTGAAGAACAACTGGAATAAAATCTGGAGCATGAAACTTTAGATTACACTTATCGTGAGCAGCAGCACGATATTATCCGGTCAAATGATAATGATTACGCATTGTTTTTTGTTATCAGGCGCGGGCGATGCAAACGCCCGTTCACAAAAATGACAAAATTCTGCTTGCTTTTTGTCAATTTTCTGCTGGGCCTTATTTTGAAATTTTGTATAAACTTTAAAAATAATTTTTATCAAAACTTTAGAAATAAATTTGTTTAACAAATTAAAATAATCTAAAAAGTTTAAAGCACTTCGCAAAAAAGTTTGTCCAGCCACTAAAAAAAATGTCTCTAACCAAATGAGTGTAGTGTGAGTTTAAAAAAGTTGCGATAGAAGCCTCAAAATGCTTCTTTATATTTGTTTGTAGAAAAATAGGGTCTCTAAGCCAGAATTCGTATTTTATTTACTACTTTCGTTCGTTTAGTACCAAGAATTTTTAATTGCTTAAGTATTTTAAGGTATTTCATTTTGACCCCAAATTTAACTTTGCAAAGAAATTAGAAAATCTCTATAGTAATAAATGTATCACGTGCTTGCTTCCGACAGTATTTTAAATTATTTGGGAAGTATTTGTGTATCTTTAGGCAGTATTTGGGTATATTTAGGCAGTATTTAGGTAAATTGTGCCACCCGTTAGTGTACCTTTGAATTTGATTGCTTTCTCCGACCGTTACGGAGATACGACACTTTCACTGCTCTGTTAGTTATGACAATGTTTTGGCGACTTAGTAATTTCATTACATTACTAGTTTCCACTTTAATTTGTGTTTTTGTGTCGGTTTAGCAAAATGTTAATTTAAATGATTTATATACAACTTCAGAGCATCGAAATCTGCCATGACTCTTGCTTTGTGTATACTATGTACTGTATAAACCGTCTGTGATATAAAAACTTCTTTATACGTAGTCAGTGGAAGTTTCGGCTTCCATTTTAGATGATTAGTTATATAACTGATTTGGCAATTATGATAGAAGCTAGAAGTCACATAGTACTTTGCTAATATATGCTTAGTTAGAAATGCATGTTCCAAGCAATAGTCCTTACGGAATTGAAGGGAAGGAAACACGGAATTCATCAAGGAAGACATCCTATGGTTCGTTGCTGGCGTTACTAATTCATTGAGTAGTATCCGTCAATTTCAAGCAGCCCAGGAGGCGTAAGTCACCACCACCACCACCATATGTCGAAGCATGGCTCTTGGGCCTTTAAGTCAGAGCGCATGGGGCGCATGTCATAACTGTTGGATCCAACTCTTACTACTGCCATACCGTTACCAGTCGTCCTGACATCACCAAACTGACAGTCCAGCCGTCCCAGCATTGAGACTTAGGCCTCACTGGACAGTTGTTTTGGTAAATTTTCATCCGACGATGACCTATTGCAGATAAAAATGATAATAATTTTACAATAAATATACAAATGCAAACTAACTAATGATTTTTGTTGAAAGGATGCTTGTAAGATTCTGACTATGGTATTAAGGTTAATTCTATATGCAACTGGTGGTTTTGATACTGAACCTATACTACCACCAACCCCTCTTTTTTACATTCATTTTTGACAGAAAAGAGCTATTTTCAACCTGTTCCTGTGAGAAGCAGGCTAACATAGGCAGTACTTACCTTACTAGTCTTGAAAGTTCACTAGTACTATAACAAATTAACATACTCAACCATGTAGATTTTTAGATAGTTACCTCTGTAGCAGACACATGTAAATACGTAAGCCAAATCGGCTGCTCATTTTATAAATGCTAGGGTTGTCATAATTAGGCTCATGCCTTCTACCTTAAAAATTAGGGGGGGGCGAAAATACGAAACTATCGAGTGAGACCTTTAGTTCAGCCAAATAGTTTGTACACGGATGTTAATAATACAACCATTTATCTGGCCACACTGTCGGCATCTTGTTATTACTATGCTGGATAATTCAATTAGAAATCTGTCCGTTCAGCCAGGCCTTTGGTGCGGCTGGAACCGGTGATTGCCAGACTGTCTTATATACCGCCAGCATCCATACCGACCACATGCCGTTCACACATGGTTGGATATAATGTATTCAAACCGCACCATTGACGGCGGTCCAGGAGTCATTGGCCGTCGAGCAGC